GAAGGAAGGGGGTGGGGGAGGGAAAAATAGTCGACGTGAATGACCGCCGGTCAGTTTTATAAACCACGAGCCGCCACTGGCTATAATAGTATCTTTGAATCAGAGTAATGTCGATCGGGCATTCAGACTTGGACGCTCTTAAGATTTACTTTCGCTTTTGTTACCACCCAAAATTTTCAGATGGCATCCTGACACTGACAGCTGTTCCCTGAAAAACACGCTTCGTACGTCCCTGTTCTTGTTAGGCCAGTCATCAAGGCCAAGCCCTGTCCATGAAACTGTTTCAAACGCGCGTTTGCATCACGTGACACGACCCCGTGTGAGTACCACATGCGTGTGTCGGGGACCGTCGTTTGTCGGGGTCAACAACGTTCATTCAATAAAATCAATCTGATCGGGGTATCTTTCGGTACTTATCGGGGGGGGGATTCTTTCTTGAATTACTTTTGTTTTGTTTTTATATAGACACGTAGGGGTGCTTGGCTGATACGACTACGGTTTGTGCAGGAACGGGTGATGTAGGGCGCCTTGTGTGAATACGTGATCGAAGTAAAACCTTGCTGCTGTTTAAAAACGGGTAGATCTACTTAAATCGTTACATTGATGATGAAGGCTCTATTAATACTATTATCATTTTCAGGACTATACGACTTTGACTACGAGAGCTTCAGCAACACTGTAACTTGCGCTCCCCCAGTCTTTCTAACTCCGACTGTGAGAACGTGTTCTAATGCTGAAACCCAAAGATTGTTTTGACTGTTGATTTTCTGGCCCCTCCATGGGCATTTACTTTATATTATGAAGGAAAAATGTAAACAATAAGTGCAGACTGAAATACTTCATTTTGCAGCCCCCCCTCTCCCCCTCTCCTCATGTCCCTTATCGAGGATGGATGAACAGGCATTATTTTACTCAGTCATCGACACAGTATAGGTCTTTGTTTGCCCTAACTAATTTTTATCATATCATTAGATCAATGTTTTGGAGCAAACTGTCTCCAATATAATAATATTTTGACCCTTGGAGAATGAATGACCGCCCCTGGATGTCGTTGTATGGTCTTGGATTTTTTGTTTTTACCAAATCCTGA